TCCCCCCAATCCCCCCTTCTGGGCATGTCACTGGTCTCTACTTTACTATACTAAAACAAAATTTCCTTTAAAGAAGGTTTTCATAAAGTTTTTCAAGATTTTCTATAAATTATTTGATTTCATATGCAAAAAAATTAATTCGGACACTTTTTATTTTCTTTTTATGACGTCTTTATTTTGTATCAAAATATGTTGAGCTATATATTATTCGATAGAGAAAACAATTCTCTATACGCTGATGCGTATTAGAACTGAAAAACATATTAATAGAATCTGAAAACCTTCAAAATGCCTGAAGTTCTATGGGTTTTACAGAGAATCTAAGTTTTTCAGGTTCAATAAAATCAAAAACCCAACTCAAAATACATCATTCCACACAGAAAACTAAATTGAATCGAATCATATCTTTGATTTCTAAAAATCATTAAACAAAAGACTTATGTATTGCTAATTAAAATTAGTATTTCATATAGGTCTTTCGATAATCTTAGTTTTTAAGGAGCGAAAACAAATTCAACACTTTTTTGAGCGATATAGACTCGTAGAGAATTTCATTATCTACAAAATGATATGCTTGATTGCGCAATAACTAACGAATGATGCAAAAGTTCCTGCACAAATGTCGGCTCATTTTTCATCGACTAAAACATGTATGGATAAACTCAAAAGTACTTGTACAGAATCTACGTTGGAAATTCTCTCTAAATGTATGTTCAAAAAAGTTCTATCATGTCTTGTCTTTCAGTAGGGAGCATATCTTAAAACAGCACTAAAAAGTCGTCTGTAAACAGAAACGAATAACAAAGAAGGTATCTAGCGTACAGTATTCTGCGATTTCTTTCAGTTCGATTCATAACATGGAGCTAATTTGTTCTCGATGAGATTACCGTCTCTATACTCGACAAATCATTTGAAAATACCTATCTTTTCAAGTACAAACTACAGTGAAGAAAGAAAAAAAAAGCTTCTATTCGTTCTGTCGCTTTATATGCATGGCGTAGAGATATATATACCTTTCTTTCCTTCGTTCACTGGCTCAGCGTGTATAAAGTGACAAAACGAAAAAAAATTTTTTTTTCCTTTCTTCACTATAAATTGTACTTGAAAAGATAGATTTTTATCATACACAGAAAAAGAAATTATCGCACAACCAAGCACATCATTTTGTAGAGAATTTTACTCTCTACAATCCTGTATTGTTCAAAAAAGTGTTGAGTTTGTTTTCACTCCTTAAAAACCAAGCTTATTGAAAGATCTATGTGAACTGCTAATTTTAATTAGCAACAAATATGCCTTTTGTTTAATGATTTTAGAAACCAAAGATATGATTCAATTCAATTTGGTTTTCTCTATGGAATGATGTATTTTGAGTTGGGTTTTTGATTTTATTGAACCTGAAAAACTTAGATTCTCTATAAAATCCATAGGACTTCAGGTATTTTCAAGGTTTTCAGATGCTATTAATATGTTTTTCAGTTCTAATACACATAAGCATATAGAGAATTGTTTTCTCTATCGAATGATATATACCTCAACATATTTTGATACAAAATAAAGACGCCATAAAAAGAAAATTACAGATATTCGACCAATTTTTTTTTGCACATAAAATCAAATAGTTTAGAGAAAATTTTTGTTTTAGTAAAGTAAAGTATTATAGGGTATTCGAATGATCATTTTACATACTGTATATGCTAAACAAAAGAAAAGCAACGTGTAAGTATGATGAAAAATTGGCATGGCTGAAGTATTTCAAAAAGAGGGTAGGGTATTTATTTGGCTGACAGTGAAGACAAGATCCACAAGCATCCTCAGGTTTTTACTTGCAATTTTGTTATTAGATTGAATCTTACTCATGGCAAATGTGAATATCGATCGATTGAAAACATTATTTATATCACATGATCTCATATATACTATTTTGAGTATAGCAATCATTTGTCTTCTTATATTAACCATCGTCTATGCTAGTTTATGGCGTAATAATAAAACTTCTTTAAATACTTCTACATTTGAAAATGAAATTATTGGTTATCCTATTCGTTTACCAAATGATGATCAATATGTTCAATGGATCTTTTTACAAATGAATGATATTTATGAGTTATTACCACTTGATGGAGGACGAAAAGGTGGTTTAGCTCGTGTTGCTTATATACGAAAATTATTAAAACAAGAAAATTCAAATACATATACAATTCTTGCGGGTGATCTTCTTTCTCCATCGGCTTTAAGTTTATCAAAAGTTAATGGAACAGCTTTAAATGGAAAACAAATGATTGCAACAATGAATACTCTTGGACTTGATTTTGCAACATTTGGAAATCATGAATTTGATTTATCTGAAAAAGATTTACTTAATCGAATGAATGAATCAGCATTTACTTGGATTAGTACTAATGTATTTCGTCTTGATAATAATCAAACATTTGGATCAAGTATTTCTTACAAAATAATTTCTATTGATACTGTTCGAATTCTTCTCATTGGTATAACTATGGATGGAATTGACAGCTATGTTAGAATTGTCAGTCGGTCATCATTAGTCAATTATATTCAAGAATTTTTAAGATCATTTTCAAATGCATCATATGATGTACTTGTTGCTATTACTCATGTACCAATGGAAACAGATATTCAATTTGCTTCTAGTATTCCACAAATTAATCTGATAATGGGTGGTCATGAACATGATAATTATTATTACTTAAGAGGAACAAAATATGTACCAATTTATAAAGCAGATGCTAATGCTTGTACCGTTTATATACATCGTTGTGCTTATAATTTGAATACAAAACGTTTTCGTATTTATAGTATGTTAGCACAAGTGACATCTGAAATACCAGATGAAGAAAATACAGCAGCAGTAGCAAAGTATTGGTTTAATTTAGGTATTGAAGGATTTCGAATATTAGGCTATGAACCAAATGCAATTGTATCATGTCTACCCGTTGATATTGAACTAGATGGTAGAGCTGCATCTGTTAGAAGTTCTATAACACTTTTAACTGCTATAATATGTGAAAGTATGTTACAATTAACAGAAATAAATAGAACAACTATTGGAATTATTAATGGAGGAGCAATACGTATTGATGATATTCTACGTAACACAATTACACAATATGATATTTTACGTGCGTTACCTTTTGTAAATCTGATTGTTGTTCTTTCTGTTCCTGGTCAATTACTTGCTCAAATTCTTACTACTGGTATATCTTTAAAAGGAAGTGGTATGTTTCTTGCGTATACTAGAATAGAAACATTAGATGATGGTAAAACATGGTTACATAATGGAACAGATATATCAAAAAGTAGTCTTTACTATAATGTAGTAACAATAGATTATATACGTCGTAATACACAATTCAACAATAGAGATGTTACTACATTATATGAGACTAATGTAACATTGACAAAATGTTTTATGGAATATTTAAAAAGCAAATATCCTCCTTGTTAGAAAAGACATTTAATTTTTTAATAATTCAATAAAAAATCCTAGTGAATTTCTTTGTTTGTGAGACGTAGTTTTTCAATCAAATATCAAGAATATCATTTTCATAATAAAATACAGAAAACATATTTAAATTAAATTGATAACATAAAAAAATGGAATAAACTATGATCATTTACAAATAAAAATAATCGAATAAATGAAAGAATCATATTAGAAGAAAGACTAAACCAACAAAATAATTTTATAACTTTTTTCGAGAAAGAATACAATCCGAGACGGCATTTGATTTCGTGTGCAATGTAGTTTACTGAATGATCATGATCGAAGCTCAGATTTCCTAGTCACGATTGCAATATATATGTTCAAAATCTCAAATATTTATTCAGAAATTTCATTTACATATTTAATTCAGAAACAAATCTGACATTTAAAATATGATACTCTTAACAAGAAAACAAACAAAAGGGTGTGCGTGTGACTGTAGCTGTGAGAGTTACTGAACGGAATATTTACCTACACACCCGAAAACTCAGTCATTCTGCATATCGGAATGTTATAAAAGAGAAAAATAAACTCCATATTCGGAATTAACTTAAAAAACTACATCGAATCACATACAGTTCATTAGAAAAATTGACCCATCAGCATTGTTTTCCGCGGAAATCGGAAAGGGTATTAAAAAATGGGTGTTCTTGAAAATTATTTTGTTTCAGTTTCTTTAACAGGGCTCCCAGGTTAAAAAAAAAGCCGATTTTTCGTCAAAATAAAATGAATATGTGAGCATATCGGCTAAGGCTTCTGGTGTACAAATTCATTAAAATAATTTTGATTCTCGAAGTTTTTTGACAGTCTCATGAATGATCTTTGAAACTATCTGGACAAAAACTAATGTCTAGAGTAATCAGTAAAATTTTTTTTGAAAAGTCAGATTTGAAAAATAAACAAACATTTTTCAGAGACAATCAAATCTTGTGCATCTCAGAGACACACTTCTGAAATTCCCTATGGTTTATGAGTATGAATGTGAATCTTCTATTCACCCATATGCTATGCATATCTACGACTACACCCATACCGTCCAAGATATGTTTTATATAAAATACCATATTTCTTATGAGTTACTATTATTGGAATTTTAAAAGAAGATTATCTAGCAAAATGCTTATAACTTTTTAACGAAGATAGCTAGAACCCTACAGTTTTCACTGTTCGAAAGAGGAGATAAGGAGACGCATTTTTCTTCAATATTGTGTAAGGCAAAATCATTTATAAATCAGTCATTTCTACAAAACATCGAAAAATGTACAAAGACGATCTGTCATTGAAATGAAATTTTGACAAAAATTAAGAAAATATGCTTAAAAGTTAAAAGAATTCCATAGTTTTCGTGCAATTGAATAGTCGATTTTATTTGTTCAACATTAGGATGTGGAAAGATAGTCATTCGAATTATACCTTGAACTATAGCTCTGAAGTCGCTCTATCCAGATCAGATGTCAAAATCAAAATTTCATCGGAACGATAGACCGTTTTTATACATTTTTTTCGATACTTTGTAGAAATGACTCATTTTTAAATGATTTCGTCTTATACAATATTGAAGAAAAAGGCGTCCCCCCGTCTCCACTTTTGAATGGTGAAAACCCCAGGGCTCTAGCTATCTTCGTTAAAAAGTTATAAGCATTTTGCTCGATGGTCTTTTTTTAAAATTCCGATAATACTTTACTAAATTGTGAATTTCAGGTGAATTTCCTCTTCAAAAATCGTTTAATGATGAGATCTACTCGTTGGAAATAATTTATCATTTAGCCTTGGACCAATGAGTATTTAGAGTCCGTCAAGTTCAAAATTTTCGAATTCAGACCTTGTTAACCAAAAATTTCCAGAACCGAATCTTGTCTTAATTTCAGAATTTCCTAATTTTGAATATTTGATATAACAGAGCAAACCATGAACTCTATCGGTCTCCGATAGTTGATTGACATTGATATTCAATTACGTTTTCGAGTATCTTTCAGAACATATGTAAAATTCATTTTTACAATAAAGAAAACCATGTTCTCTAATCTGCCTAAGTAAACAAATTTTTTTTAGATGGAAAAATATGATTTATCAAATGTCATCATTTAATCCAAGAGAAGAACGTCAAGTAGCACGTGACTTTCTTCTAAATTATTTAAAAGATGATGGAGTTTTACTAACGTGTTTAATTTCATTCAATAGTTGTGATCTGGTTATAATAGAAATTATTAATGAATTATAGACATGTTATAAAATAGTTAATCAACTTTATTTAACTATTAATTTTCAACGTCAGAATTCTAATATTTCAATAAGTGAAATAACAAACAATGAAAATGGTAATATAAATTCTCATCGACAAAGATTATTATTATTCGAAAAATGAAAAATCAGAAAAAAAATCATCTAAAAATACAGATAATTTATTTTATTTTTCTCTATGATACTCATATTATATTAAATTATATTGAAATCTCAGGAAGATTAAAATTTTCTATCTATTCAACTTTCTTTGATACCCATTATGTGTTGTCTCCATCTTCCTTTTTTTTTCTTTCTGTATGTTTAAATTAGATGATACGTTCTTTTCTTTCTGAATAAATCAATAAAGAAATGGTGTTAATTTTTATTCGTGCATCACTATTTCATTCAGACAAGATCATCTGGGCTCCAGTGATATTGATTGTTATATTATACATGTATAATATTGAATTAAAATATGTCCTTCTAGGTATCTGTTAGGAACACTTAGTACAGTACATTGATAAAATCAATCAATTATACGTAATTGTTCTTTTAATTTAAATTAGTTCTCAGTATATGTAAATACGGTGCATAATTTAAAATACCTCGAAAATAGACAATGATAAAATAATTTGAAAACAGACTAGCAAACCGTTTTTCTATGTGTTGTTCTCGTAAGCAAGTTTTTACATGTTCACAATAAACAAATGGTTATTCGTTGTGTCTGATTTCATAATAATGAATCTAAGAGATAAATTCACTTTATTATTTTAATTGATTTTTTCACATATTTCACTTGACGAGACTATTAAACAGTTACTTTAATCTATCATTCAACCATATTCAATTATATTTTTTTTAATAAATATTAATACTTCTATTCTATCTTCGAAAATGATTTTATTAAAACAAATATATTCAATGTTGATATGTTTTATCTATGTATACTTTCATTTTTTTTTCTTCTCCACTTCACTTTTCCTCTTCAAATATACAAGATAAAATGAGAAAAAGATACTGTCGGTCATTAGATCCTTTTTCTTTCTAAACTTTTAAGTTATTCGTTATACACATCGCAATAGTCTTCAATCATTAAAATATTTTTATAAAATAAATATTGACTTTAATTTGAATATAGTAGCCGCATAAAAGTTTTGCTGTCAGGTAAAAATAATTATTTCGTCTTATAGTTTGACCATGTTCAACTGAATTTGATTGATCTACATATGCAACAGTTAGAAGATCAACATAATTTATCTCTTCAGACGAAGAAATCTCATGATGCTTGATAAACCAGTGCTGTCTCTATTACGATCCATTGTAAATCCTTTGCATTAAGATTTATTCAATTCGACTTGCTGCTTGCCAACAGAGCTTATTGTTCAGTCCTATATCCAGACTAAATGATTACTTGGCAATGAGAAAATCTTACTCTTTGCTGTTTAAAAAACAATAGAAAAAAAATATCTATTTATATATTTAGATTTTTTAAAAATAAAATGTCAACTTTATATCAAAATTCATATTTTTCTTGTAATGAGAATCTTAATGAAACAAATGGATTTATTAATTCAAAAAAACTTCCTATATCAAGTCGTAGTGATATGAAACATGCACGTCGTATTATAGTTAAACTTGGTACAGCATTAATAACACGTGAAAATGAAGATGGTCTAGCTATAGGATGTTTAGCATCAACTGTTGAACAAGTATCACAATTACAAAATGAAGGTCGTCAAATGTTATTAGTTACGAGTGGTGCTGTTGCAATTGGTCGACAAGGTCTTCAAAAAGAAGCTATGATGACAATGACAATGAGAAAATCTCTTTCAGTAAAAGATATTTTACAAAATAGTCGTTTAGCTATACAAAGACAAGCATGTGCTGCTTTTGGACAAAACGATCTTATGTCATTTTATGAGCATATGTTTCAACAATATAATATTGGTGTTGCACAAGTACTTGTTACAAAAAGTGATTTTTATAATATTGATAGTAGAAAAAATTTACAAGCTACACTTAATGAATTGCTTAAGTTAAATATAATACCTATATTGAATACAAATGATTCTGTTGCACCATGTACAGATACAGATACTGAAGTAACAGCAGCAAAAGATGAAATTGTTATTAATGATAATGATTCATTAGCAGCACGTATAGCTGTTTTAATATCGGCTGATCTATTATTAATAATGAGTGATGTCAATGGATTATATACAGGACCTTCAACATTAGAAGGATCAAAATTATTACATACATTTTGTCCGAAACAAGATTTACAACTGATTTCATTTGAAGCAAGATCAAAACTTGGAACAGGAGGAATAGAATCAAAAGTAAAAAAATTTTTTTTTATTTCTTCAGCATACAGTCACGCTTAAAATTGATAATACATCATACGCAAAGACATCATTGAAAACGCTGAAATGCAAAGTATAATACTCAGGCGTTTCTGTTTTTTTTTTGGTACTTCAAATCTGACACAGTAAGCTGATATTTTGAGGCGAAAAACTATAAAAATAGTACTACATTTTGATGAAAACCGAGACTTTCTTAAGCAAGGATTCTCGAGCGAAGAAAGAAGAGAGGAGATGACTCTCTCCTGGTCTTGAACTATTAGAAGTATCAAACGAAAGGTTAGGTTTATGATCAATTTTGAGTGTCATTATATGATGAAACATAGCCCGAATCGAACCAAGTTTTACTGATTTGAGTTCGGTTCGTTTTCGATGTCTGTTATCAAATTAGTTTTTTTCTAGGTTAAATGTGCATCATGGGCACTTGATCATAATGTTGCTGTAGTAATAAGTAATGGTCAAATACATAAAGCAATATTAAATATTATTGATGGAAAAAAAATTGGAACATTTTTTACAAATGTACCAGCAGGAACATTACCAGTTGAAGTTCAAGCTCTTAAAGGTAGTTTCTGTTTGTTGATTTCATAGAAAAAGTTTAAATGAATTCAAATTCATTTAGTTCGTAATGGTAGTCGACTATTACAAACATTAACGGCAGAACAACGAAAAACAATTATTAATAAAATGGCATCAAATTTAATTGAATATTCAAAAGATATTCTTCAAGCAAATAAACAGGATTTAGAAGAGGCAATGAAAGAAGGTACATATAAGTGAAATATTTTAAACAAACAAAATCTCAGCTCTTATTTTTCGATACGTTTATATATAGTATGTTCCTTTAGGTCTTAAAGAATCATTACTTAATCGACTTGGTCTATCAGAAAAAAAATTGGAAACTTTATCAATTGGTCTTCAACAAATAGCTGAAAAAACTGATATACTCGGTTTGTTGAAATTTACTTATTTATTTTGTGAAACACTATTTAAATGGAGGGTTGACGTATAGAGACTGCTCTTTAGACCTCTTTCCTTCACAGACGTCTTATATCAATCATTCATCACAGTCAGTAACAGACACGTTCGTATTGCCGCTTCCTTTCGATAGAACCTTACTTCTCTTCATATTGACTGTGATATGTTACGATTATCATCTTTCATTATCAACATTTGAGAGTTGTGAGTTCAAAGTTTTCGACTCTTGCCTAAAATGATCTCTATAAAAAAAAACCTTAATTTTTCTAAATTTGTTGCTGTATTCGGTTGTGTTGAGCAAGATGTCATAGTGCTCAGTAAGATGATGTACCGCTTGAGTGTGAGTATGTTGGCGTGAATGAGAATGTGTTCGATGTGAGTAATTATTACTATGAATGTAGAAGGAGTCCACACACTGAAAACAGTATTGTCCTGGCCTGTATTACGAAATGTAGTAACCAATTTAAGAAATAAAACTTTTTATAGGAGTAGGTACGGATCAAAATTCTTTTAATCTGATCCCAAAATCCCGAAGGGTCCTTATCTCTTCAATCAATATACAGTAACAGCAAGTTATAAATCATAAAATGAAATCTATGTTAGATAAATTCTGAACTAGCAGCACCTTCATTATTTGAATCCTAGATAGAGTTTTCGAACAAATTTTGTTAAATATTCTAGGACAAGTTGTTCGACAAACACGTTTAGCTGATGGAATCATGTTAAAACAAATAACAGTACCGATTGGTGTTCTTCTTGTTATATTTGAATCCCGACCAGATAGTTTACCACAAATAGTTGCTTTATCAATATGTTCAGGAAATGGTCTTTTATTAAAAGGTGGTTCAGAAGCGAAATATTCAAATGAAATCTTAACAAAATTAATGCAAGATGCACTAGAACCATTTGTTCCTCGTGATACAATTGTTTTGGTAATTCAAGTTTTTTTCTTTTGAAAATATAGAACTTTTTTTTTGTCTAGATCAATACACGTGAACAAGTAGCTGATCTTCTTCAATTGGGAAAATATATTGATCTTGTTATTCCACGTGGTTCTAATGAACTTGTTCGTTCCATACAAAAACAAAGTGTACAAATACCTGTCTTGGGTCATGCTGAAGGTATTTGCCATGTATTCATTGATAAAGATGCAGATTTAGATATGGCTTTACGTGTTGGTAAGATATGAGATTTATATAAAATATTCTTAAATGTATTTTTTTTTCGATATCATAGTTCGAGATTCAAAATGTGATTATCCAAGTGCATGTAATGCTATGGAAACATTACTTGTACATAAAGATCTTATTCGAACATCATTTTTCGAATCACTCATTGATTTATTTGGTACTGAAAAGGTAAAAATAGTAATTCATCAAAGCATTGAGGATTTTCATTTTTTCTTGTGTTCAGGTTAAAGTTTATTCAGGTCCACGCCTTTCTGCATTACTTCCATTTCCACCACCACCAGCAAATTCGTTACGTGTTGAATACGGAGATTTACAATGTTGTATTGAAGTAGTAGATGATGTTAATGATGCTATTGAACATATTAATAAATTTGGTTCAAATCATACAGATTCGATTGTAACAGAAAATCGTAACTATTTAATTACATAGGTAATACAAGAATGCTAAGGATTTTCTATTTTAGAAAATTCAGCTAATGAATTTCTTACTAATATTGATAGTGCATGTGTTTTTCATAATGTTAGTACAAGATTTTCTGATGGTTATAGATTTGGTTTAGGTAAGAAAAGAAAAAAATAATATATACATATTTGAGAATAATTAGAATGAAAAACGATTGATTAATAAATAGGTGCGGAAGTTGGTGTTAGTACAGGACGTATTCATGCTCGAGGTCCTGTGGGTGTTGAAGGTTTATTAACAACAAAATGGATTGTTCAAGGTCATGGTGATATTGCCACTGATTTTACGGAAGGCAGAAAAAAATTTATTCATGAATCAATCATTCCAAAACAACAAAATGTCTAAATAAAAGATTTGGTTTCTTTTCTTTTTGAGCTAAAAATAATTTTCAATTGAAATTTTTTTTTGTATAAAAAAAATTATCGTAGCAAAAGTATTGATGTTATAGTTAAACTTGGAAATTTTTCTTAATGAATTATTTGATATTAAAGTAGGTTGTAAACAACAAATATACAAATGTAGATGAAAGGTGTGGATGTAAATTTCAACGAAAGATGATTAACACCCAAACCCACGCCCATTATCCTTCAATGCTCTTGTAGTGCTGAATTCTCACATTTCTTTATTGACAAATAGGAATAATATTGACTATGGTCTTAATTTTCCTTGACAAGCATCAACTAGTTTTGTTTTCATGAGTAAACCTGAAACAATAAGTGATCTTTTTATGTATGCAACACCACTCTGGCATGTGATTAGTTATAAAATAGCTTGTCTATCATTATGCTGGCTAATAGTCATCTATATATGTCATCTTCTTTATTCTGAACTTCATTTACAAACAAATCGTGATAATATTTAGTGATCAGTTAATCCCATTACACTTTACTTTGATAAATGGGAAACAGATAGTTTTTATAATACATATACATATTTATTATTCACACGAGAATTTATTAATGAAGGTAATAAAATATTTTTTCGACCCTTACAAGGTTGATAAAATGTCCCACCTGATTATTTACAATGAAATGCTGAAATATAAGAAAGCACATTATCGTATACAATTTTCTTTTTTTTAAACACGTGGTATATGTTCATTCCGTCCATACAAGTTGTCTTGGTCCGTTTCTGTTCATTCAAACGTAAGCATCAGTCATACACGAAAGGAATCATTATATATCTAACTTACCGCACAAGTGCCATTTCAGTCAACAGGATAGAAGTGAAAGTAAATATATTATCGTGCACAACTACACTCATACAGCATTTAAAATTATAATACGACATAAATGCTCAATATTCTAAAAGTTTCAACTATGATGTACTTTGGAAATCTGTGAAATAGTATAACTAATGATATACAGGACGGTATTAATGCTTTTAAAGATCGACAACTCGATCTTTCTAAGGTTGTTTGAACTCAAAATTTCACATTATTCTCCACACCAGCACAAGTATATGTAACTGAAACTTCAGCTCATTTCAATTTATAGTAGTTGAGATAATACTATTTTCCCTGATAAGAGAACCATTACAGTTGTAAAAGTACGAATGGCCGATCTTCTCAGAAACAAGCCATAAGCACGAAATATTTTTACCCCAGAGACAGCTCACTAAGATCTATAAGATGTGCTAAGTCCTGACTCGAAAGCACTCCGGCACCTGGGAATGTTCCCTCGTTAGCATCTTCACATTATGCTAAAGAAACAACGGAATGGCTGATTCGACATAACATCAAATTTATATCGAAAGAAGTCAATCCACCGAAAGTTCCAAAAGCTCGACCAATAGAAGATTTCTGGTCGATGCTTGCTGATAAAGTATATGAGGGAGGTTGGGAGACAAAAACTGAATTACAATTAAAAAGAAGAATTTATAAGAAAATAAAGCAAATCGATATGAAGATTGTTCAAGATATGATGAAGACCGTATGAACAAAATTACGAAATATGGAAGAAAAAGGACCATTTTCTATGGTTTAACTAATTATTTTTTTTACATTTAAGTTTTGTATGTTTTATATAAGAAAAACCTATATAATAAACATTTAGTCAAGAGGAGAAACATAAGTTTGAATATTGTCTAAAAACTTTTCTTTGACTCACACCAACACGATTTTCAACTTCATTTTGTAAACGCTTCAGGTCTGTTTTATTAAAAGATGTTGGACAACCACTTCTCGGACGATCTTCAACTGGTAGACCAATTTCGCAACATTTTATTGCATCATAAACTGTTGATCTTTTAAAACCTTCTAGCACAAAATGTTTTACTACATCAATATTTTTTAAATTACCTTTTTGTCCAAGCATAGAAAAAACACGTTTACGAAGATCAATCATTTTGATAACAATCGCTCGATCGAAAAATCTCAAATTTATAGTACAAATAGAGGGCGCGACAAGCTATCCAATCAGTAAAAAAAATTGTTCCAATAGCTCTTATATATATGTTTCAGCTTTCAACATTTTGTCCGAAAGCTTTTCGACCACCTGTTATTTCACATGGTGAACATCAACAACGTTTATATTCAACAAAGATGTCAAATGATGAAGGAATCCATGCATGACAACAGAATCATGATCAAATTTTACTAATGATTCAATTCTTGATAGTTATCAGTCATTATATTTTATTATAATTGCAAAAGAAGAATATGAAACAGAGACCGTCATCAGGGCAGGGCTGCCCTGTTGTCCTACCGTGTACTTCAGGGCAAACTTCTTTTTTAGCTCTGTCCTGTTTGTCCTGCAGGGCGACCGAAGAAAAGTACAGGACAGGGCAAATTTTTTTGCCCTGTTAATTTTTCACATAAGTTTATTTGAAAGCCTTTTTTGAAGCTAAATGGAATCTTTCAAAACATCTATTACCGATGGAATTCCATCAACCAGTGATGAACCTGTTTTTTCAATTTGTTTCATCAGAACTAATGGGTTTGATACTCATTCTGATTTATCATTGTACAATACAGTTCTTCCCACTTCAAAAAGTTTAACCACGGTTATCGTATCAAAAGTATTTATAATAAATAGAAAACAAATCGCAACCTCTTGGTAAGTAGCGATGGCAAGTTGCAAATCGATAAAATGATAGTGTTCAGTCAATCACAATCTCTGTGTTCATTAATAAATATCTTATTTTTGTGCAGTTATCCTGCTTATTCTTTGGAACCGTACAAGAGAAGTGAAGATACTGGATTAAAGCCAGTTATTTTTTTGTTTTACAAAGAATAAACTCGAATGACATCATTTTCGTTCGATTGTCGTGTAACTTTTGATTAATTATTTCGTTTTCTTCCACTGAAGAGATTTTAAAATTTTTTCTCATTAATCAAAAATATTTATCAATTTTTATTTTTTTAAATTGGTTATTCAATCTTAATCGACTAGAAAATTTTGAAAATAATCTTGACGATTTAAAAAGACTAACATAGCATCTCAGCAGGATTATAATCATATAAAAACAGCATCGTTTTCATAGAATTTAAACGAATTTTTGATTGTTTCTATGCATGGATAATATTCTGTTGAAATGACTTAAACAAGACATATATAATGAACACAAAACCTATTAGATTTATTCGTCATGTCATAAATTCATCCTATAGTTGAGATTCAATTTAAGTGCCCTCAGAGCAGGACAGGGCACAAAAAAGAGCCCTGTGACGGTCTCTGATATGAAATAAAACTATTTATAAATCAACATCGATTTATCGAACAAAAATCTGATCTTGAATTAGTTATTTATAATGAATTATTATTAAACAAAATCAAATAACGCTGGAATGAACTGTGGAATGAATATCAATTTGTGAGGACACACATCTCTTGTAAGGAGAGAGGACTATTAGCGGTAGATCCAGCTCATTTCTATCCCTCGATGCTTTCGTTTCTTTTTTTTTCTTTTCTTTATGTATTGTATAATAATTTCTTTTCCATTCTTTTTCTGTGGTGTATTTAAATATGTACGTGAAAGATATTTTTCTATATAAAATATGTGATGCGTTTCTTTAAAATAAAAAGAGAAACAGACCGCTCGATGAAACGAGCTGACAGTTCCATTATTGTGAAAGAAACAAAAGTGAAAATAACATCAAAATAAGTATTCTTTGTATTTCAAACAAATCTTTGCATGACATAATACTTTATAAAAAAAAAAAAAAAGTTGAAGTAAAATAATATAAAAATCATGAATATTCATAGAAAATATTATCGCCATTATGTTACTTAACTTCACGAACTCTTTGAAGAAAAGAGAAAATTGCTTTATGAACATAATTCAGAGTCATTTTTTGGTATGTTTCATTTATTTTTTTTTTCTTCTAATCTTCTTGTATTTGGACCTTTACGTAATCAATGTTCTTATTGATATGGCCTCATATAGAGTAATCTCATGGATTTAAGTCTGATAGATTAGAAAGCTACTGATCTTTAAGTATGACACTTGACAGAGATGAGCACCGGGCAATTTTTTCTGTCCTGTTCTGTGCTCATCTCTAGTACTTGAGATTCTTGAAGTGTTTGTTTTTCCCCTGTTATAATGAATGACAATGACATCACGAAGATCTTCATCAATTTGTTAATTAAAAAAATTCATCAGCATAATTCAAAGGATCCTTTCATGCAAAAGTATTAGAGTATTCCACGATTCATGCTCAAAAACAAATGAATTAGTGTTTTCTAATTTATTGATGGTGAGATATATCCAAAATAACGTATGTTATTATCATTTTTATTTCTCTCAAAATAATGCGACTGTTGACCATCATACAGTGCTTAAGTGTTTAGCCTTATAGGAAAATCATTAAAACGATTCAATCGGATTTTTCATTGCTATCCTTGTAGAGAATTTGATGGCGCATTATTCGAAAAAAATCAACATTATAGGGTTTGTTTGACATTTATAAAAAATAAAAATATTTGCAAGATATGCATATAATTTACGAAATGATATTTTCATGAGTGAGAGATGGATGAATTGTATTGCATTTGGTCGAACATTTCGATGTCACAAGTGTCAAGAAAACAATCATCAAAAACTGTTGCTCGCAACTATAATTATAAATACACTTTCACCATGGTTCGCGATAGATTAAGTACGCTCAACATTGTTTTCTGAAAAAGATCTATCCTTTCAATTATGAGAATATAAATACTGGTTCACTGAAATAGACTCTTCTTCCATGCCTTGAAAATCGTTGCGATTTTGATGAATTTTTAAAAAAAAATCAATGTAAAATCATAATTACTCGTATTTCTTGAAAATTCAGTGATTAAATCAGATTTTACTATGATTTTATTACAAGAAATGATTTGTCGAGGACTCAGTGATAAATTGAATTTAATCACTGATGCTAGTAACTGATTGCAAATCATCAATTAGTTAGAGGAATATTCCAAGTCTGTACAATTGAGAGTCAAATATAATTTCTACATATTTTTTAAATATAATTATAGAGATATAAAACTAGAAGAAAAATTTTGTTTCAGCATGGATATCATTCCTATGATATCAATGAAATGCAACAATTTTAGAAAGCAATCAAACGGAATTTCTCATTGATATTCATTTACATCAAAGGATGTTTTCTGATAATATAGATTATTTCAGATATATTTGAAGACCATGTCATTTTTCAATTAGAATTTTTTCTATTTTTAGATTCAGCTTTTGATGATGAGTCCTTCAATTCTAGGGTAATGTGGGCTTGAATAAAATTGTTTTTCATCTATAAGATGACTTCTTTTGTTGTCATCCTTTTAGTTCTACTTTTTAATTACTATTTCTATTTCCTCTCTTTCAGACATTTAATTTAGTAACAAGAAATGAATATGCGTCAAGTGACTTCAGAGAAAAATCCAATTTCTAACATCACTTTGAACATAATAATATTTGTTTTTCTTTCTTTTTCGATTATGTTCTCATTTAACTCCGTAGAACTGCGTGCTGGATCAGATTTTTAATTTGTATTACATTTTTTTATTTATATAGAGCAGAATTACCAATTATAGAAAGGATTGAGAAAGCTTTCTTTTCCCAAAAATTCAGAAGTTTTTGCGACATTTTTTATAATCTTGTAGAAAATCGTAACAGAAAGGAAGTTTTAGCGATTTTAGCTCAGCTTCTAACAGACACTCCGATGAAGATGCTTTTTCTTCAGATAAAATATCACAGAAAGTCGACGATTTCCGCATCTACTGTTCGATTTCTTCTACGAGGACGAATGAACACACTTTTTGCTGAATTATCAGCTTTTTTCATCCTCAAAAATAATCGTGAACCTCGATGTAGAATAAAGTAAGCAGTCATTTTTTGAATAAAAAATATTCATCATGATAAATTAGTGAGATAAATTTCTCAGTGTAATAGTAGAAATGGAGATGATATAAACAGAATCATTTCTACTATCGATATAATGAAGGATAACCATCGATCATAAAACGACGATTTATCCCATTTCAACTCACGATTATCCTTTCGATATGTTACGATTAATTGTCAATTTTTTAACAATTTCGAGGACACAGACCTCTTTCGTTTGAACTTGGCAAAAAAAATTGTTCGGATCAAGGTCTCTAACTAAAGTCTCGGTACATATTCCGTTTCGCAAACTAGTAGAATGTGTCACGTACTTGATAAAAACTGAAATACCACGATGTTTAATAATATTGAACGAAGTACTTGATCAAGGAAAACGATCATAGATCTTGAAAAGTACTACGTTGTACAAGTGCCTCCTGCTTTTCTTCAAGTTTCTAAATATCTTAACTCAAGAATGCGCACTCGTGTAATGACAGTTCATCAACATCAAGAAATTCTGTAGCCCCTAGCGAATGTAATAATCGTTTTTAGTGTACGACTATCCTTTTGCCTCTGCACGCAATCTATATACTTTCACTTCTGAGCATATGTTAGGATTCTATGTTGTAAAATATATTCTAAGAAGATTAAGAGTCATGCATATAACTAATCTTGGATTCTCACTTCTCTATAGTTGGCATCTTTGTTTGGAATGAATTTTACAAAAGAAAAAACGATCAGCTCAGTCATTTCTTTTTCGACAGCGTCGTGTACGTCAATTGATAGATCAACACAAATCGTATCTTTTAAAGTAGTTGTCTTTCATCAAGACGAATAAATAAAAGAGAGTATAAATTAATGTATCCAAGGTACTTTTCATTACTATTTTACTACTTATTTTTCTTTACACTTCTTTTTATAAGTATATTTTCTTTTCCTTTCTTTCTTACTCATTCTTCGAGATAGTTCCCAGTGAAAAATATTTCAAAAAAAAACCGATAAAGAACGCGTTCTAGAAAGTGAAAAATTTTTTTAAGAAAAAAAAACGTTTTTCTGAAACTTGGACACCGTTCCAAAACGAAACGGCAGAGAACGGATTCCGTTTTTAGGATCACTGTTTTTTTCTTAAGAAAAGTTTTTTACTTTTTCAGAATGCGTTCTTGACCATTCCAGTTGAGAACAACAAAGAACGCATGTCCCAGTTTCTAAAGCGATTTTCTTTCTTAAGGTCCCTCACCTAAAAAATAACTTTTTCATAGAACATGCAAACCATATGAAATTTTCATGACATCGTAGAGCTCTAGTGAGGATGCCATGGTAAAATTTTGAGCTTGATACCAAGAGAATTTCAGGAGATACTAATCAAACAAGGATAAAAAATAGCTATTTTTGTTTCACAAATTTCTCTGTCAGATTTCAGTCTATTTGTTTAATTGTTTTTCTGTTTGATAGAGCATATCAGACTGCAGAGAATAATAGAGTCCTTTTTCTTGAAATCTTACTTTTTTTTTGAAAAACCAGTATCACAAGTTCAACGACTCGAAAAACTCTATGAAAATGTCCCAAAAAATCAAGGTTTTTGCAGAGTTGTTTGAGTTATTGAACTTTTGATATTGATTTTTCAAAAAAAAAGTACGGTTTCAAGGAGAAGGGCTCTATTATTCTCTGCAGTCTGACATGCTTTATCAAACAGAAAAACAATTAAACAGATAGACTGAAATCCGACAGAGAAATTTGGGAAACAAAAATAGCTATTTTTTATTCTTGTTTGATTAGTATCTCCAGAAAGCCTCTTGGGATCAAGCTCAAAATTTTACCGCGGTATCCTCACTAGAGTCCTAACATATCATGAAAATTTCATATGCTTTGCATATGTTCTATGAAAAAGTTATTTTTTGGGTGGGGTAGGGAGCCTTAAAAAAAGGTCTGCCACGTTTTCAAAACACGTTCTTCAGCTTTCTGCTTGCGAACGATGACTAAAGGATTACAATTTTGGCAGATTGTTCATATCCAATCTGATTGGAATATACCTATCTATTTACCTTATTCTATTCTATTCTAACTATCTGCTTATCTCATCTACCTATCAATTTCTCTTTGATATTTGCCAGTGCTAACTAAACTATCTATTTATCCTATCTTGTCTCTCTATCGATCATATCTACCTTTTCTATCCTATATACTTGAGTAATAATAAAAAACCGAAAAAGTACGATTTGTTATCATTGGTTTGAATCATAGATTGATCATAAATAGTCAATAATATTTTTTCGATTTCTTTTTCGATCTTTTATTATTACCCTATGTATTTATCCCATTCTATTTATTTATCCTATCCTATCCATCTATCTAAAAGTGATCGAATTTTTTGTTGTTGAAATGTTGAAACTAGTGGCACTACATATTTTTCCATGCAAAAAATATTCGAATACACGGAAAGATACTTTATACTACTTTGGCTATTATTTTTTAATGATAAAATGCTACATAAATTAAACAGAATAGTAGATTGAAAAAAAATTCTACTAAGAAAATACTTTTCATATAATTCTATAATAAGTTTCTTTGTTTTTTCTTCTGCACTGAAGCGAACACATCATGTTTCTTTGCTTTGCAAACAAATCTAACTTTTCGTAATATATTTGATTTCACTTCACCTTTTTTTGTGTATATTTTTTGCTCTTTGTATCATTTTTGGAAATAGAAAGTCTCCCGATATTGGTAGTTAAGAGTCAATATTGAAGATAGTTGCTCATAAAATATGGTAGAAAATTATGTTGATCAATTTTAGTCAAGAAAAAAAAATGGGAGAAAAAGGATTATTTGTAAAACATTAATGAACACAACCTGAACCGATCAATATTCTTTCTCAATATAGGAATTTATCCAACTGAGCTTATGAAATGAACGAGAACGCATTCCATAGTTTCAAAATTGATTTTTAAATTCACTGAAACCGATCAGGTATTTAGTGGAACGATAGAAAACACGTTCTTTTTTTTCTAAGAAGGATATTGAATCGTCTTGAACTGATTCATCAACTCAAAGAATCTATTCTTGAGCGATTCTGTAGAGAATATCAAATAAAGCCACCATATTTTGAATAAATCCGTTCCTTACCTTTCCGAAGAATGGAAAGGAGATCATTCTCGTAATTAATCGAACGGTTTAGAATGTTTTCTATTCACATTAGGAACAATTTAGGACCGACAAGAAAGCTTTCTATAATAGTGAGAAACGGCAAAGAACGTATTTCTTCAAATAGCGAATGTATTCTTGTAGATTATGAACGCATTCAGTAAATTATGGAACACGATCTTCATGGATAAGAAACCTTTCTCTAATCTAACGAACGCGTTCTTTTCCAATTTTTTTTTGAATATTTCTCACTGGGTTCTCTTATTGATTTTATTTATTCCCTTGATATTTTTACAAGGGTGAGCTAATACTAGTCATAATTACATTGGTAGAAAATTGTAAAGTGTTTTGCATCAATGATTATACTTCTGTCTTATGCATCTCCGTTCCTTTTTTCTTTTCTCTCTTTTCTATCTTTTTCTATCATTATCTAAGGATTTGCGAGTCTTACATTCACTAGAATAAATTAAAAAAAAAGAGTTATTCTGCAGTATGAAGATTTCAAATCTGAATTCTCTTAGAAAAGCTAATCGGATCCAATGCAAGATTAGTTTTCATCGCAATAATCTAGTAATATAAATATCAAAACATTGCTTTCTTCTGCGATTATCAATTTTGTTCCACTTACTTCAGCGTATGAAAATGTTTCTTGTATAGATCTTTGTTCTTCGTCTTAAAGTGGCGACTCGTCTCTTCACTGTAACTCATGTCGGCTGTACCCACGAAAAAAGTTTTACACAAAAAAGCGTTCTAACACAAACTTTCAAAATTTTTTGAGTTTAAACGCATTGGTTTTTTTTATTGTAATCCGTTCAAATACATCGTTTTTTATTTGTCATGCATTTCAATGTATTGATTTTTATCTGAAACTCATTTTGCAACTTAAAATACCACCGAAAAATACAGTTTTAACGCATTCATAAGAAATGTGCCTTTTGTTCTCAATCAATGCCATTTAATATACCTTTCGAACGCGGGTTTTTTTAGTGTTCATTTACTGAAAAAATCGAATTTTTCATATATGTACTAGAATGCATTTTTTTAATGCGTTTTTTAATTAGAAAACAGGGTATTCTTTTTCACAGACAAAGTAAATAAATATTTATATTCGTATTCTGAGTGAAAATGCAGTTTTATGAATTGAAATTTGTAACCATTGATTGGAAACATTTTGCAATATCAGACTCCAAAATATATCGCTTAAATAGATCTGTTATAGAGATGAGTTTTATGAATATTATGTAATAGAGACATAGTTGCGTAACAAAACAAAATAGATACAGATGAATCAGAACACGATTAACTTGACTAAAAAATTTCTTAGCCAAGTTTGAAAAGCTGTAGATAAGATGATATCGAGATAACAACTCAGTGAATGTTTTTTTTGTGCAACGATTCGATATATGTTGTCTTTTCTAATTTTTAACGAAATTTCTAGTGATTCATAGTGAAATATTATTTTTATGATATGTTCAATACATTCAATATGGTTAGATTTGAATAGAATAAAAAAATTCGTGTTTTTATCATCTTCACAATACTTAACTCAAAATTTTTTTAGTTATTAATTATTTATATAGACTATTGAGGAATGTTAGTTGTTCTATTTCAAAATAAAATCTCGAATACTTTACACTTCTACATTTTTCTTTCTACAATTTTAGTTTTTAATATTTATAGTTTGCGATATTTTTACTTTCAGCATTTCTCTTCTCGACATTACTTCAGAGAATTAAGAAAAAAAAAACATATATCTCCAACGACTTGTTGCATTTCTACAACTTCTCGCAATGTCATCGACTACAGCACAAGCCATCTTGAATGTTGTCCATCTGTATATCATATACGTGTTTTCAATTATTTTAATAGTTGGCCTTGTTGGGAATGTTTGTAATATTGTCATCTTTACTAGCCTAAAAAAGTTTCGAAATTGTCCTGGTGCATTCTATATTATTGCTGAATCCATGGTCAATCTCGGCATTTTACTCATTGCTACAACCTTACGCATTACTGAAGAAATATTTAACTTGAACTCAGATCGTATATCGTTTATCTGGTGTAGATTACGATATCCAATCAGTCAATGGTGTATACTGATGCTCCTGTCTTTGGTTAATTTTGCAGTGATCGATCAATATTTTTCCACGAATTGTAATCCTTGCATTCGACAATGGAGTACTGTCAAATTAGGAAAATATCTTACTGCTATTGCAGGCATTATTTGGTTTTTCTACAAAATTCCATTTGTCATCTTTTATGATATCAAAACTCCATTTGGTTGTCTTATAAATAATATAGATTTCGTTCGATACTATTCATTTTTTCATTTGCCTATTCTACATGGAATCTTACCGATGACTCTAGCATTCACATTCAGTGTAATGGCCTATCGAAATGTTCGACGTATTCGTCGACTACAAATGAGTAATACTCGACGACGACTTGATCAACAGTTGACAGCTATGATTCTTGCTAGAGTGATACTTTTTATTCTTTGTCTTTTACCTTATATTGCACAATGTTTCTACATTATGAATGTACGAAACGATAAAAATGAAAAACTTCGAACGGCAATTGAGTTGCTCATCACAGCCATCAACGTCTCGATTAGCTATCTCAATGTTTCGGTATGTCATTTGAGTTGTTATTGTAATTTCTTTGATCTTACTCATAGTTTAAAATTCTTAGGGTACATTCTATGTATATCTGATTTCATCGGCACGATTTCGTCGTCAAGCAAAATTTGTTCTGATGAAAAAATGCTGGAAATATCGTCGAGACATACCAGAGAATCGTTGTCGATCATCCATGAATAATCAAGAAGCACTGATCGCGAATAGCGACGTCAACTATTTAGATTGTTAAAGATAGACAAAACGGTCATTACAAACCAGCATATTATTCCAATCTAAAAACACTTTTCCGTGTCTTTCGGTCCCAACTCATTCATGTAAATATTTTCTGGATCAAAATGCGTCTGAATCGCGTTTGATGCGTGTCCGAAATGCAGCTCAGATAGAATACTTCTTATGTTTAGATGCAATTTGTTTTAGAAATGTGCGTGAACGCATTTGCAAGTTGAAGCGTGTCTGCACCCAGGACGAGTATTCCGGGTCCCGAATCCCATCGGATTCTGTCGGAAATCTGGCTTAATCCGATAAATTCCCACGAGAATCCGACAACTTCCGACAGGATCCGTGTCGGAATCCTTGGTAGCGGAATCCAGTCGGAAGTTGTCGGATGTCGGATCCGACGATTTCCGACAGTCGGAAGATCTTGGAAAGTACAGGATCCGACGGGATCCTACTAGATTTCTATAGATAAACCAGATATTACGTGCAGCACCTATGCTGCACTCATTAGATTTTTATTTTGCAATACTTAATATATATTGAGCTGATTAGTCTGATTGGATGGCTGAATGCCTGTGTTATCATACTGTTGCTATAATGTATCAGGTAAATATGATTTTTTTATCAGTTATAGTACTTGTATGGCACCATGCGATTACTATAACTGGTAAAAAAATCATAGTTACCTGATACATTATAGAAACAGCATGATAAAAATAAAATTCGGCTATCCGGTCACACTAATCAGTGCCATCCCATTCAATTTAACGTTGTAAATAATCTAAAATAAAAAATATAAATTATTTAAATAAATAAATACTTACTGTTTGATTTATCGATTTATCATTGTAAATAATCTAAAATAAAAAATAAAAATTATTTTAATAAATGAATACTTACTTTTTTTGATTTATCGTTGTAAATAATCTAAAATAAAAAATAAAATTTATTTAAATAAATTAATACTTACTGTTTGATTTATCATTGGAAACAATCTAAAAATAAAAAATTAGAAAAAACCCCCCCCCCCCCCCCCGTAATAAAAGACTCCGGGTCTTCTATTATGTTAAGGTGAACAATTTTTTTACAGGGGTCTTCTATTATGAGTGTTCTTTTTATATGAAACTTAGTTCATAAAAGATCATATATTGTTATTATATCTTATAAAAACATATTTTAATTAGTTCATCATCATTATCTTTCACATACAAAGTAAAAATACAAAAAAAATGAAAAAAAAAGAACTATAATTATATTTCACTTTTGAAAAACTGATCTAGATTAAGCTGTTTCATTTTGTTGTTGTTCATATTAAACAAATATGAGTTCTTTTTTTTTCTTCTGCTATCAATTGATCTTCATTATCTTCTTCTTCTTCTTCATTATTATTATTATTAGTTGTTGAAATAGTTACTGTTGATGGATCAAAAAGAAATCCTGGTAAAGTTCGAATAGAAACAGGAGATTCATCAATCCATGTGTAGCCAATATCTAGAAAAGCACGTTCAAAATCAAAACTTTTTTGAGTACGAATCCATGCTGTTGAAATTAAACGAGTGCATAAAATTCTTTTTTGTTTAGCTGTTAATTTAATCTTACTACGTGAAGTATAATTATCAATATATTCATTAGCAGCAGCTTGATAATGATTCTTGAATACCGAAAAGACTGATGTATCAAGTAACTGCAGATATTGTGTGCATCCTTTTGGAATAATAGATACTACAACATTTTTCTTTCGTAGATTTTGAATTATTTCAGGTTTTAGATGAGAATTAGCAGAATCGATAATGAACAGTTTAGGATGACCATCACTCACCTATCAGATAAAAAAAATCTTTGTTGAAAAAATAGATCATAATGTTTGTGAAATTCTTTAAGTGATGCTATTCTTTCGTCTTATTCTGAAGATGATTCATAATAAAAATCTCACTATCAGTATATTACATTCAAATATATACATTCTGTTTCTGTGCTCAGACAATACTGTCTTACCTTTTCTAACCATTTTTTACAAAACGTATTCATTGATTGTCCATTAATAACACCTTTTGGTGTAAATATAACATGTACACCTTTAGCATATTTTTGACGTTCATCAACACCTATATTACCTTTACCTTTAAATAATACAACTGGTTGCATTCGTTGATTTTTTGGAAAAACAGTAAGCATAACTGTACAAAATCTCTAAAATAATTAAAAAGGAACGATCAAACCTTTAAGATTTAATAGTATTTGCAGGGTTTACTAAATTCAAATCCAACAAATTGTGAAATGCTCTATGATGATATTTTGTAAATCATAAAATATGAGTTTATCGATTATTTCCTCTTTCTATGCAAAAATGAAAAAAAACTTAGCCTTCTATATAGTTTGTACTCAGAACGAATGAGGTTGATATTATATTTACGATTTATAAATTCATAAAATGTTTCATTCATATATACATTTATATATATTCAATCTATTGAGAAAAACAATTAAAAAAATTATAATTTTTCAAAAAAGATAAACATCTGACTTATGATAAAATATACAATACAAATCGGGTGCAATCTGTCAGATTATCTTGTCGTAGGGGTGTCATTTATCGTCTACTTTATAACAAACATATATTATGAGAAATTTATATTTATTATAGATGCAAATTATTATGGTGCAAAATTTCTTTGAAAACATAAATTAAAATTATTATAATTTATATTTACGAATAAATATAAATTTTCAGAATTAATTTATATTTTTATTCGTAAATATAAATCATAATAAATTAAATATATATTTTCGAATAAATTTTGTAACAAGATACTTTACATTTATAATAAATATAAATTATTTATTATATAAATTTACGCGAAAATTAAATGAAAGATAAATATAGATTGACACCCTACCTTATTACTTATGTATCCATTTATTTCATTATTTGTACCAATGTCATTAATAGACCTTTTAGCTTGATCACCAAAAAGTGCCAATGGAGATTCATCCATATTGCAAATATCTTCAGGAATAAATGCACCCATAGCACCACGTTTAATCGACCATAAACTAACACGACGATTGTACATATAAAAAGAATTAGCTAAACGATGAACTTCATCAATTGGTACTTTATCTTGTCTCTTGGGTTGTTGTAATGATAAACCATGACGTTTCATAAATCGAATATACCAACTTGATGATGGTATAGAATGATTTAATTGTTTAGCAATACGACGACCTTCTTTTTCCAAATGACTAAAAGTTACTTTTTCTCTTCGAATATCAGCTGGAGCTAAAGATTTATCTTTCGGGTCGGTCCTTCGTGATCGATACCAAGTAAAAAGTTGATGATCAAGATCAATATATACCATTTTTTTACCACCACCTTCTAATCGTTTTCGTTTACCACCTAATAGATAAAAGAGAAGATAGTTTCACATTAAACTAAAAGAAAAGAAAAACAAACCTTTTTTTTTTTTGTTCAACTGTAATAAATTTTCTTTATTGTTAATCCAATTTCGTAATTGAGCAGGTGTACATCCTTTTTTTTTGCAGTTTTACGTTTACTTTGATTATTTTCAAATAATGTAATAGCATCAAGTTTTTCTTTTACTGTCCATTGACGTCGTTTACGTTTAATATATTGTTCTTGAATAACACCATTATTGGATGGTGTTGTGGACAACAACATCTGTTGAGAATCATGTAATTCTTCAATATCAGATGAATCTGATGAGTTTAATGTTGAAGGTGGTTCAGGCCATTCGAAATTTTGATCATCATCATTATCAAATTCAGATTCTAATTGAAGATATGTCGATAAACGTACTAATTCATTTTCACATTCATCAATAGTCGAAGTAATTTCAACATTTGAATCACTATCAGAACTATTATCATCATCAAAACTTGAACCTTCATCATCACTAAGAGATGCCAGGTGTTGTTCTTCCATATGTATTATATTCAACAATATATATTACTAATACAAATGAACTTTATTATTATTCGTTCTCTCTTTCTCATTTCATTTATAAATTTCTCTTTCCTCTATTTTTTCATTCTAGCTTGAATTTTTTTCTATTTTTCCGACGAAAATGTATTTTTGTTCTACATAGATAAGTTATTCGTTCTTCTTCTTTCTTGTCGTAACTTGCTCCTTCCAATGAACGCAATTCAACAATTACTTGACGAAAAAGTTAAGAAGATTTAAAAAAAAAACGGTTTTTACAAGAACCGGGTCTACTATTGCAAATTTCACATAATTTTCCAAAGAGGGTCTTCTATTATGGGAGGGTCTTGTATTATGGGGGGGTCTTCTATTATGGG